GTGACTTGGGACACCATAAATTATCCTAAGTGGCGACTCTGAATTTAAATAAATAATCCCATTTCGATTATTGTCACTTTATTTGGAAAAACTCCTATATACCCCTTTCGAGGGTAGTAAAAGGAGGTATGACAACCATTGTTCACGCGCTGAAGATTTGGAGGCACTATTTGTATGGTGTGTCATGTGAGGTGTTCACGGATCACAAGAGTCTACAGTATTTGTTCAAGTAGAAGGAACTAAATTTGAGGTAGAGAAGGTGGTTGGAGCTGTTGAAAGACTATGATATCAATATCTTATATCATCCGGGGAAGGCCAATGTGGTGGCTGATGCTTTGAGTATAAAGTCAGCCAGTATGGGCAGTCTTGCTTATATTCTGATCGGTGAGAGACCGCTTGCTTTGGATGTTCAGGATTTGGCCAATCATTTTGTGAGGTTGGATGTTTCTGAGCCCAGCTGTGTGTTAGCTTGCACAGTCGCTCGTTCCTCATTATTTGAGCGTATCCAAGATTGGCAATATGATGATCCTCATTTGTGTGTCCTTAGGGACACAGTGCGGCACGATGATTCCAAGTAGGTTACATTAGGATATGATGGAGTTTTGAGGATGCGGGGTCGAGTTTGTGTGCCTAATGTGGATGGACTACGAGAGTTGATTCTAGAGGAGGCCCATAGTTCCCGATACTCTATTCATCTGGGCGCCGCTAAGATGTATCAGAACCTGCGGCTGCATTATTGGTGGATAAGGATGAAGAAGGATATTGTTGCATATGTGGCTCGGTGTTTGAATTGTCAATAAGTAAAGTATGAGCATCAGAGACCTGGTGGTTTGTTCCAGAAGATTGAGATTCCTGAGTGGAAGTGGGAGCATATCACTATGGACTTCATTGTTGGACTCCCACAGACTCAGAGGAAGTTCGATGCAGTATGGGTTATTGTTGATAGGCTGACCAAGTCAGCACATTTCATTCCTGTGGCAGTTTTCTATTCTTCTGAGAGGTTAGCCGAGATCTATATTCGCGAGATTGTTCGTCTTCATGGTGTGCCTGTGTCTATCATTTCGGACCGAGGTACGCAATTTACCTCACATTTTTGGAGGGCAGTTCAGAGTGAGTTGGGCACACGGGTCGAGCTGAGCACAACATTTCATCCTCAGACGGATGGGCAATCCGAGTGTACTTTTTTGGAGGATATCTTCTGAGCCTGTGTTATGGACTTTGGAGGCTCGTGGGATCAGTTTTTGCCTTTAACGGAGTTTGCCTACAACAACAGCTACCAGTCGAGCACCCATATGGCTCCTTAAGAGGCTTTATATGGTAGGCAGTGCCGGTCACCGGTTGGGTGGTTTGAACCAAGAGAGGCTTGGTTGTTGGGTACAGATCTAGTACAGGATGCCTTTGACAAGGTTAAGATTATTCAGGATAGGCTTCGTACAACTCAGTCTAGGCAAAAAAGTTATGTTGACCGTAAGGTTCGCGATGTAGTATTCATGGTCGGCGAGCGGGTGTTGCTTCGGGTGTCGCCTATGAAGGGCGTGATGAGATTTGGAAAGAAGGGCAAGCTAAGCCCTAGATTCATTGGTCCTTTTGAGATTCTTGATCGAGTGGGAGAGGTGGCTTACAGACTTGCATTGTCGCCGAGTTTATCAGCCGTGCATCCAGTATTTCATGTGTCCACGCTTCGAAAGTATCATAGCGATCCATCCTACGTGTTAGACTTCAGCACTGTCTAGTTGGACAAGGACTTGTCCTATGAGGAGAAGCTGGTAGCTATCTTAGACCGGCAGGTTCGTCAGTTGAGATCAAAGAGTTTTTCTTCAGTTCATGTTCTATGGAGGGGTTAGCCTGTTGAGGCAGCGACCTGGGAGTCCGAGTCCGATATGCGGATCCGATATCCCCATCTTTCTCCGGCTCAGGTACTTTTCTTTTGTCCGTTCAAGGACGAACAATTATTTTTAGAGGTGGAGAATGTGATGACCCAAAAGGTCATCACTCATTTTGAAAGTAAATTATGTGTTCCGAGGCCTTAAAAATCTCTTTTTGTCTCACCTGGATTTCCATGCGTAGTTCGGGCGCATTTTCAGAAAGCTTTTACGTGAAAACTAAGTAAGATAAGGAAATTGGCTTGTAAAATTGATTAAAGTTGACTTTGGTCAATATTCTTGGTAAACGGACCCAGACCCGTGATCCGTCGGTCTCGTAGGGTTCGTAGTAAAATATGGGACTTGGGCGTATGCCCGGAGTCGAATTCCGAGGTCCCAAGACCGAGAAATAAATTTTCGAAAGAAATTATTAACTAAAATTATAAGAGTTTTTAGAAATGTAGAGATATTTGAAATTGATAGTATTGGGCCCGTATTGTGGTTCCGGATCCCGGTAGAGGTCTTATAAAATAATTAAGTTAAATCTGGGAATTTTGGTGGGAATCGGAGTTCGTTTAGTATAAATCAGACCTTTATTTGAGAAAATAAAAATTTTGATGTTCTTGAGTGATTTAATGAATTTGAGGTTTAATTCATAGTTGTTGATGTTATTTTGATGATTTGATCACATGAGCAAGTCTGTATAATATTTTTGGACTTGCGTGCATGATTGGTTTGGAGCCCCGAGGGCTCGAGTGGGTTTTGGATAGGCTGAGGAGTAAAATTGGACTTCGAAAAAAATTATTGGTATCTGGTATTTTTGCCCAGGCCTCTGATCTCGTAATTGCGAGATCAGGCTTCGCAATTGCGAAGTTCTCAGGCATGGGAATTGCGACCCGGGCATCGAAAATGCAAACCTAGCCTGGGCAGGCCATGATTGCAAATGCGACATTTTGGTCGCAAATACAAAAGCGGCAGGGTCGCAATTGCGACTATTTCTTCGCAATTGCGAAGACTGTAGAAATACCAAGGGTTCGCAATTGCGAACCCCTGATTGCAAATGCGAAGGTGACAGGTTTCTTAAGGGTTCACAATTGCGAACCCTTGGTCGCAATTGCGACATCAGAGACCTGTTAAGTGGAATTTCAGACGGGATTTCATTCATTTTTATAACTTTTCAACCCTAAAACATCTTGGGCGATTTTTCAAAGGCACCTACTCTTCCAAATCATTAGTAAGTCATTTCTAATTCATTTTCTTCAATCTATAACATCCTTTCACATGATTTCAATTCAAAATCAAGGGTTTTCATAGGGAAATTGAGTGTTTTTGGGTAGAACTTAGGATTTTCAAATTTTGGGGATTTGGATCTCGATTTGAGGTCCGATTTCAAAAAAAATTATATATTTGAGTTCGTGGATGAATGGGTGATTGGGTTTTGGTTTGAACCTTGGGTTTTGACCATGTGGGTCCGGAGTCGATTTTTGACTTTTTTGGAAAATCATAAGAAAATCTATTTTCATGCATTAGAATTGATTCATTTAGCATTTATTGATTTTCGTTAAGTAAATTGTGGCTAGATACAAGCGAATTGGTGGTGAAATCGAGGGGTAAAGCGGTAGTTGAGGTTTGATTGTGTTCGTGGCATTGAGGTAAGTGTTTAGTCTAACCTTAGCTTGAGGGATTAGGAGTTGTGTCTTAATTGCTATGTGTTAATTGTTGAGTACGACGTATAGGTGTTGTGATGAGTATCTATACGTCAGTGTCAAGCATGCCCGTGAGTCTTATACTATGATTGATGTGACTCCGTTTTGTATTGTCCATACTTAATATGATGATTTCTAGTGTTGAACATTGAACATTGTAGAGCATTGACTCAAGTTGAGAATTGAGTTGTGAAGTAATTGTGGAAAAGAGAAGAGGTTTATGATATTGTCTCCCTTGTCGAGATGTTATTGCTCTTGATATTATTTTCCTTGCTGGGATGTTATTGCTCTTGATATTGTTTCCCTTACCGGGATATTATTGTTATACTATTGTTCCCTTGCCGGGATTCTATTGTGATTTTATTGATTCCCTTGCCCGAATTGCTTTGTGATTGTTGCTTAGGTAAGGATGAGTGTAAAAGCATGAAGGTGATGCCGTGCGTGATATTTGTGAGTGAGTGTTAATGCACGAAGGGTGATGCCGTGCCGATATTGTAAATGTAAAAACACGAAGGGCGATATCGTGCCATGATATGAGTGATAATGCACGAAGGATAATGTCGTGCCATGATTATGTGAGGTAAAAGCACGAAGGGTGATGTCGTGCTGATTATATTGATTCTTATGGTGAGAACGAGAGTAAAAGTACGAAGGGTGATGCCGTGCACTTGCGATTGCTTTCCTTATTCTTGCTTATAGTTGAATTTTGGTGCTCCGCATGCTTCTTTATTGAATTTTTATTTGTACACGATATTCCCCCGATCATGTTTCCCCTTCCTATCTTTAATTGCTAGTCTCTATCATTATTACTTGTTGTATATGATATAACTGCACAGGTTTATTTGGTAGTCTTGTCCTAGTCTCATCATTACTTCGCCGAGGTTAGGCTAGACACTTACCAGCACACGGGGTCGGTTGTGCTGATACTACACTCTACACTGTGTGCAGATCCCGATGCTGGAGCTTTTGGACCACAGTGAGGTTGCTGCCTTCAGTCCATCAGGAGATCCAAGGTAGTCTTGCAGGCGTCCGTAGGCCTTGGCGTCCCCTTCCTATCTAGTTTTTCTTCTGTTCTTTACTATTTCAAAGACAGACATGTATTTATTTTGTTCGGACCCTATTTATAGTATTCTTAGATAGTCTGTGAGATTTTGATACGAGTTCTGGGTGTGTTATGTTTATGAATTCTTATCGGTATTATCTTTAATTGTTATATTTCATTCTTCCGCATTATTTCTGCTGTTTATAAAATGTTAACTCACATTTGTTAAGGGATTAAAAATGAATAAGGTAAAATAATTGGAATAATTCGCTTGCCTAGCTTTCACTAGTAGGCGCCATCACGACTCCCGAGGGTCGAAAATCTGGGTCATGATAGATACTCACTACTATTTATTTATGTACTGTAAAGAAAAGAAGCTACACTTCTAGATAATTGAATGAAAAAATCAAAAAGAGAATGACTAATAATTTGATGATAGGCATTGAGTTAAAGCTAACAAAATAGTATAGTAGTACACTCTACTACAGTATTTAATTCCTTATTCAAAAGAAGGCCAGAAGCTGTATATCGATCATTGCATGTTTCTTCTATGCTCATCAGAGGTACTCAGGGGAACAAGGTTTAGGACTTTTAAGTTTCATGCATTTTCCTGATTTCCCTTCTTGGAAAACAAGGCACCAATTAAAGGGATTAAAGGCTTCCTCTTCAATTTCTTCTTGAGCTGTGAAGGACTAGTCTCACATTCTTTCTTAACATCTTCCTTGTTGACAGCAATGACCTTAGTAAGCAGAGGGGGACTAGCAAACTTGACAGATCTCTTTTTCTGGAACTCGATCTGCTCCTCATCATCTTCCTCTACAGTTTGTATTTTGGCTTCAACTTTTGATGATGGTTGCTCAATGAATTTTAGCTCTTCAATCTCTGGATCCATCATCACTAATGGTACTTTGTGTTGGGGTTCTCTTGTCTTCAATTGTTGTATCTCTCTTCTTGTCTGTTCCAGCTCTTCTTTAAGAGATTGAAGGCAATGGGCCATAAATGTTCCTTCTTCTTTAGCTTTCTGGAGGCTTTGTTTTGTCTCTTCAAGCTCAACTCTTACTGCTCCTCCAAATTTGGGTTGGTTTTGTCCACCACTTGCCTTTGTCTGCACCTGACGTTGATCATTGAGATACTGATAAATTTGTAGGGAGTTGTTACGTAGAACCTATTTTGCTAGTCATGTAGCCAATATTTTATAATATTCCATCAGCTCCTCTTTGGCCATTGATTTTGGTTTAATTTTTTTTAAAAAAGTTTTAAAACATTGTTTGTTTATGAAATATGATCAGGTTTTGAAAGAAAAAAAAAATTCAAGTTCCAAAAACTGGTTTAGGACATTTTCTGGGTAAAATTTTTTCTTCTACTCACAAAACTTCAACTTTTTTTCAAGTAAAATGCATGTCCAAACACAACTTTCAATATTTATTTTTCAACACAGCTTCAAAAACTCTTTTTTTAAGTTTCAATCAAATCTATATCCAAACGCTAGCTTAATTATTCCGGTAGCATGTGATGATATTCCATGCAAACACATTCAGAATTTTAGTGCCCGTACCATACGTGTTATATATGGTTTAATTTCAGTCGGTTAGTATAATTCCATGTAATCAAATGGGCGCACAGTCAGTTTGTACTTTAATTTTTTATCATAATATAAGTAAGAGGTATTATCACTTTTAGCTCGCGCCAGAAACTATTTACATCTGATAACAAAAAAAATGTATAAAATTTGTATAATTTTTGTATATAACATACACAATGTATATATATACAAATTTTATACATTTTTTTGACTATTATTTTTACAGCGATTATACAGTGTCATTTTTCCTATAAGTAACAGGTTAACTAGTGCTTTACTAGGTTACCACTTACCAATATACTATCACAGAATTTACGTATCATTTACAAGTGACTGACTGAAAATATCTGTCACAACTCGCAATACAGAATACTCAAACTCAGCCTTAAAATACTTGGGAATATAATGGTAATGCATTATATAGCAATTAAGTCCATAATATGATGGAGTGCTAGTGAATTATATATGGGGCTTATTCAAGATCAAAGCCTTTCAACGATCAGAACTTGAGAAAGAGGTTAACACAGAAAAGCTATAAATGAAGGAAAAAAGAACCTCTTTAAGCTGCTTAGCATGTATCTCTCCAGCCAACACCTTTTCCCCGAACAACATAACTGCTTCCTTCACCGATCGAAAAGGCTGCCGCATGTCGATCTCCACACGTCCCCTCACCACCACTCCTTCTAATTCCCTTTCCATTTTCCTTTTCAGAATGCAGGAAAGTAACTGAACTTCTTCTTTTCTATTTGTGCAGTGGTAATTAATTAAAAGGAAACTAGAAACTCCTCAGCAACTGCATTAATGAAGTTGACGACGAAATTTTGTATTGTCATTTTGATTGTCAAATTTAGGTTTATATATGAGAGAACGAAGAAAGAGGTTGTTTGTTACAAATTGGTAGGATAATTCTAGGATTACCTAATAAAGAATGTCATGAAAATCATTTTAGGGAAGGAGCTAAGGGTGTTGGAGGTGGGGGGATTCATTTCTTCGCGTTCACTTCACTAGAAGATATATATTTGATTTGTTTGTTATTTGATGGTGATATTTACTGCTTATAATGATCTGTTTGGTGGTTGCACCATCACATTTCAAATGCCTACTAAATCTTACAGCAATAACAATTTCCCTAAACAAAGAGATAAGAATTAGAAAAAGAAAAAATCAATGTAGTTGTGAAAGAGATTTTCCGAAGTCTTGGTGCCGCCACCCTCACCAAAAGTGGACCTTTAAAGGGACCCAATCTTCGTTTTTTCTGAAATTGACCTTCCTCCTATGATCCAATTCAATATGTATTTTTCTGTCTTTATATACGGCAACTGTTTCCTGTATATATAACTACGTATATATGTTTGTAACTAGATATGTATATGGTCTATTTTCATGCTTAATTCCGATCAAAATCATAGGAGTTCACGAAAGGGACATCAAGAAAAAAGCTCTTATATAATGATATATTGGTTGTACAGATTGATTTGATTGCTGAATTTCTAGTACTGTTCACTTATATTTAGAACAAAACAATCTTAATCGTCTTGAAATAAAATTAAAGCGGCTACTTGTCAAGAAAGAATGTATAAAAAGAAGTCATCATAATCGTATAAGAAAAAATATAGACATTGTTTACCTCGAAAATACGAGTAACTATTAAATTTGATTTATGGTTTTAAAGATATGTGATTTAGTTCAATACTAATTAATAACCAAGCTAACATATAAATGAAGGAAATAAGTAAAATCAAACCAGTGTGTAAGACAGTCTCGACCTCGAGCTAAGGTGGCCTCGAGAATAATAATCAAGTAAAAAGACGATTCTAATGAAATATGAGCCAAAAAGTAAGAGAGTATATTCTTTGCAATGATTGATGATGGTTACAAATGATTGGGGTCCTCTTTATATAATAGGGGAACCATAAATAAGGTACATTTCTATTTACAGTAAAGAATCGTATTGCGACAGTTGTCTAACCGCCTAGTACGGATTAGTACTAACTCGTACAAATCTATTCGGAATTTACACCACGATCTTGGGGAAGTAGCCGGAATCTTGCTCATTCTGCAAAGCCATAACGACATTATCTCGAAGCCGGTCACGTTCGGCCTCAATATTCATCGGTCACTTTGATCTTCGATTTTCGAACTCTGCCATCAGCATCAAACCAGTGTACTTTCGACCGATTCTTGAAGTGGTTCCTCGAACCCACTAAATCGAGCATACTTGATTTTGACCGTATACAGATAGTCCCCGTGTTACTTAGAGTAAGATGATAATAAACGACTTGATCCTCGATGCTCCGATGCCTCGATCATGCTGTCAATCTCGTGACGTCAGCGACTGAAGCGATTGAATGGTCGCTTGTGCATAGTTCCCAAGGTAATTATTGGAGGCGGCTGATGGTTGGCCGTTGGTTTCCCTAAACCGTTAAAGTGGCCTCTATAAATAGGCCAATTTTACAGTTTTTGCAATCTTTACTTCTCAAATCACCCTTAAAATCTCACTAGCCTCTTCAACTTCTCTGAGTTCACCCTTTTCTCCATTTGTTCTAACTACAACATCAAATCCTTCTCTTCTCTTGAATGTCTTAACCACAATGGCTAAAACATCTAAAACCGTTCCTCAGAAAGAAAAAGCTTCATCATCGCGGTCGGCCAGAGATAGAACGGTGGTGCCATCTCGTATCGATGAGTGTATTCTCGGGCCATGCGAGCTAAATTTCAATTTTAAAATCGATAAAACGGCATCGACACTAGGCCGATATGAGCCCATGTATCGATACATCTGCTTGATAACCGAAGATGGAACTTGAGCAGGTGAAAAAGGATTGTAATTGGGAGAATAAGGATGTTGTGATCCCTTCCCCCGATGAGGACATTACCACCCTTAAAGTAGGGTACTTAAGCATGTATACTTACCCTTTCACATCGGGTCCCGTAGATCAAGCTCTGGGTTCCACAGACCCAGTGATTCTTGATTTTTGCCAACAATACCAGGTGACGCTTGGCCAGATCTACCCTTTTTTCTGGCGCATCGTCAATCTGATCAGATATTTCTCAGGCCTAGTCGAGGGGATGCCTTTTACCCTTGACCACCTGATCAGGCTATACATCCCTCGCATTTATCGAGGTGGCCTGATAAAGCTTCAGCGTCGATCCTCGAAGTCCCTTTTCTCCAGCATCGATGAGGACAAGGACAGAGGATGGATGAGACAGTTTGTCCGAGTCACGACCTCCGATCTGATTCCTGCTGAGAAGATGCCATTCCCCGATGAGTGGAACATGAAACGTAAGAACAAACTTATCGATGGTGATTAATATCCTGCTTTCCCTATTCTTTCTCGATCTAATTCTTTTCTGATGATGCAGTTGTCTCTTGGTTTCTTGGTGTGGTTCCGGGCCTCGCAGGTTGGGTCCGGCAACTGGCATCCACTTCTTCCTACGCGGAACGCAGTTGGTGTGATTTGGCCAAGGGTCGATGGGAAGCTAAAAACCATGGTGAGTTATCTTGTTTACATATTGATGTTTCGTAATTGAATACTCACTTTACAATTATGCAGGCCTCGGAGACGCCATTGCTATGCGACCGCCCCTGCCCGTTGAAGAAGAAATCCCAAAATCGACCAAAGAGAAGAATAGGAAAAGGGGGTCGCCTGCAAGTTCCCTGAAGCCAAAGAAAAGCAAGGCTCGAAAGCCTAAGGACGATCCTGCGTCCCTATCTTCAGAAGCGGCCCAACACCTTGGGGATGACAGGAGGAGGGAGAAGATAACGACTGCCTGTTGGTAACTCAGAAAAGAGGAAGCACTGACATTTCGAAGGCCGCTGAACCGATGGTGGCTGATGCGGTTCAATCTCAAACCGAAGAAATTTTGTAGGGGAGCTCGAGTAGAGTCCCCGATCCATTAGGTGGTAAAAATACGTCTCGTCCCGGGGGACATTTGGTGGGCGAGCCCGAGGATCCTAGTTCTGAGGCCCTCCACAGAGAGGATAATATCCCAAGTAAATTACTTGGGATAATAATGTGGATGACTCGCCGCGAGCCTTGTGTTCTCCGAAGGGAAATTTCGAGATGCCCGGGCCATGAGGACTCTTGATGTGGGAACGACCCATGAAGGGAGTGATATTTTTCGGGAGTGCCTTGTAGGGATCGAAGATGGTCCCGATCCTGATGCCTCATTTATCTTTTATGAGGCCCAGAGGCTTTTCAAACAAGTAAGTTTTTTTCTTCATAATTATGCTCGAGTTTTTATTCTCATTTTTCTCAGTCTGACTCCTTTTCTTTGTGTGAAGGCTGTGGCGCTTCATCGACAAGCATTTTCCAAATCTCGAGTCGAGCTTGCCCGATGCGAAGCCGAACTCAAGAAGCTGGTGGAAGAGAGGGATGACCTAAAATGCCTCTATGTATAGAAAGAAGAGGAGGCCAGAGATCTTCGAGTTGAATTGGCGAAAGCTCGTCAAGAGCATACTGAGCTCATTGAAAAGGTAATGTATCCCTTATCCTGTTATGCACTCATTTGATTTAGTGACTAATACTTCAACTTTGCAGGCCCAGCAAAAGGGCGAGCTGGTGGAGCAGCTTCAAGATAAGCTCAAGGTGAAAGAGGCTGAGACCTTGGGGTGGAAGCAACATACGGATCGTCTCGCCTCGGAGAAAGACACGCTTCGGGATCAACTGACCTCGATCGAGTTCCATCTTTAAAATGTAAAGGGAGAAAGCCTAGCCCAGAGCCAAAATATTGAAGAGCTCGAAGCTAAATTGGCCGCTGAGCTTGCGAAGGCCAAATCCGATGCAAAGGCGTTTGTGTCCTCTATCGAGCTGACGCCGAAGCTGCCAATATTCGGGCACAGGAAATCTCTATAGCGGCTGAAGTCAAATTATCATGTGCTCTTGATCACGCCAGGCGACAATCCCAGAGAGAAACTCTCAAGGAGGTGCATGCTCGTGGTTTAGACCTATCAGCTGACATTGAAAAAGCAAAAACTTTGGAGGATGAGGGTGACGCTTTACTCTCTGATGGTGAGTATTCCGCCAGTGGATCAGAGAGCAGAGGAGATGAGGATGAAGTCCCCGAGGAGGAGGTTACTGAAGACGCGACTCCCAAGGATGTAGCTCCCAAGGATGTGGTTTCTGAGGACGTGGCTCCCAAAGTAGCTTAGGCTCTTTTGTTTTTGGTTTTTGTATAAGTCCCTTTTGTGGGCATTGTAAATACTCTTTATGAAAATAAGGAATTCCCTTTATTTTCGCTTCATCTCCGATTTGTATCGAATTCTGCTTCATCTTCATTTATGAAATTTTTTGATGTTATAACTTTAATGATCTAGTGAGCACTGGCTCATATTCAGAATAGAACAAACCCTTAGGTTTTTTAGTGAGCAATGGGTGATCTTTGAACTTATAATAGAATACCTCTTAAGGTTTTTGTTAATCCTCCAGCTATGCTTAAGTTGATTGGGTGTGAGCTCCGGATGATGGGACTCCTAAGTCCGAGTTGAATGAGAGCAATGTCTCGAACTCTACATGCTTTGGCCCTTATGCTCTTTTAGGTCGGCCCTTAGGCTCTTTAAGTTGGGCCGATTCGGCCTATAAAGCGGCTATAATTTTCCCTCTTTTCGGCTAAAAGACTTAGTGAAAATTTCTTCATGCCTTAGCATGTGTTTTTTGTACTTGTTGGGTTTTTTCGAAGGTTCGATTGATCGGAACCTCATTTGTAATACGTTTGTGTTACGATAATTGAAATTCCTCTTGTGGCTTTTTTCGAAGGCTGATGTTATCGAAGCCTTTACGTTATTCGAGGGCTGATTTTATCGAAGCCCTTTTTTATTTGCTTTTGCCGAGGGTAGCCTAATTTAACCGGCTTTTCAAAGTATTTGAAGGCCTTTAACTTATGTCGGACGTCTCTGAGCCACATTATT